AAAACTATGGAGATCTTGTAAGCACGAATTGAAATATATGAAATGATTCATAAATTGTTTTGAACTGCGGATCAAGGTATGAAAGTGAACATGATGATCGCAGTAAAATGCGCAGCCTATTCGGTTACTTTTGCCAGTCTGAAAAGCGTTAATCAAAAGTACCCGTTGGATACATCTAGAAATCCGTTTTAACCTTGCCTTGTCTTCATTCGATCCTCGATCTTTTACAGAAAACCTCTTTTTGAGCAAACGTGAACCATTTTATCACATTATTTTATCATATTTGGTTAAAAACAGTATCTAAAGGAACATGAACGGAAGAGGCGAGAAACGCGTAGGCGCCGGGCGGGAGAAATCGCCTTCGTTTACCAAAATAACAAAAGAAATGAATCAATAACACTGGCAAGCAAATAATCATTATATAAATTTGGAAAGTCGATGGAAAAGGTTACATAAGTTTGGAAAATCAAGCTTTATTTCTCNGAAGTATTCGTCGATGTTTGGCTTTCCCTGGACAAATCCATCGGTGAATGCTCAATGGTATATAAAAAAATGAGTGCTCTGGTATGGCTTAACCTGTATGTTTTTATTATAGAAAATGGCACAAAAATAAACAACAAAATGGTTAAATAATCTCTTTCTGTCTATGTTCGAATTTTTTCGAACGAATTTATTCGTTTTGATAACTGTATAACACTTTTTAAGTTTTTTCTTTTTCTGAACAGGAAAACCCAAGCCGCGATACATGTTCGATATTCTGGCGGCAGATGAAGAGTACAAACGGCGTTTTAAAATCAAACAACGTGAGATAGTGGAAGAAGAAACAGAAACTGAACACACTACGTAAAAACAAAGAAAGAAAATATATATAGATAAGTACACATGCATCTTTATTGTATCACCGTTTGCAAACCTCTTTATAAAAAAAAGTGTCTCGCAGTCCGAAACAAATTATTTCAGAGTTAAAATTGTACGAGTTACGCCCAAATGATATGCCCCAACGAACCATCTTTTGTTTTTGTTAAAGTAGCCCTTATTTCCCCTCCTCCCTCCCCCTCACCTTTTTGCACCCGTCACGCAATCTATAACCCTCTGGGCTAAGTTGTTTTTGTTTTTTATACATCACTGAGAAATACTGGACTATTTCATTACCCAATTGCTTCGCTAACAGGGGATATATTTTCTTGTTGGTTTACTCTTCTCTGTTTCTTTCTCAGCCCGTTTGTTTTGTGGAAAAATCTGGATAACAGGTAATAACTTTGTCAGGTTGGCTTAATTCGGTTGCATTTCTCACATACTGGGATGGCTGGTTCATTAATATCTTGTTCATGTCGGTCGAAGTCGTTTTCAGAGAAACACCCTTATCAAAATCAATAAATAAATAAATAGGAGTATTTTGATGACAGGTGCTTAACAGACGGATCTAAGCTTTCAAGGGTCTATCTTGTCTCTCCTCCGCAGAAGCCTCTTTGTGTTCTAGGGAGGCTGAAGAGAGAGCAAAATATAGCGCGCAGGGGACGATGGGAAGGGGAAAGAAAGGAAGACTAGGCCTTTTCCGTCTTCCCATCAATCATCGCGCGCTTACTGTTTTTTTTTTATTATTATTATTATTATTTTTTAATTAATACTAGTTTTACATTTGAATACCTAGCGGAAGTCTCTGCGCAGAAGGAGGGGTCTATCTTTAGTTTAAAATAATTATTCCAAGAAATTCCAGTTACCAACAATGTCATTTGTTTTCCCTAGGTTGGCGGGCGAACCAGAAAAAAATGCGTCAAAGGACCGTTTTCGTGTTAACAATATGTACTGTAAAATCCAGAAAAACAAAGAAAAATATGTACGCATTTGTGGCAGGGGCTCCGGTTTGTAGCTGTACAACATGTAGTAAAGTATATAAATAAAGTTCAATTTATTATTTTTCATCAATGTGTGACCTTTTAAATATTTAAGTGTTTTTTTTTTCTGGTACTGTTCCGTTTTGTGTAATCGAAATTTTACAAAAAAAATGAACCTGAGAACGTGTGAATCCCGAAATTTAATCCCTTTTTTTCATATTTGCTTTTTGAAATCGCGAAAATAAAACCCAGCAAATTATTGTCTCGCCCAAAATCGTGAAATTGAGTACCAATAAGGTAATCACAATGACGGCGAGATTCTTGGTCTCAGAGCTCTGAAGGCCCCACTGGCTAAAAGAGGCGCAGTAGGCGCTGCGGACGACAACAACAACAACGAGCAATTTATTTGCATGACCATACAAGCACATACAGTATTGCAAAAGCTATTTTTTGGAATCAAAATTACATCATAGGGCAATTAACTTACTTTGATAATAATTTATCACGAACATCAAAACAAGCTGAAATATATTTTATGAATTGTATATTGATAAAGAAATTAGAGGAGTTCATCAGTTCATTAATAAAACCGTTTATAGTAACTGTGTAATATTTGGAATCAGAGTCTTGACTTTATAGTAAAATTTATTCCTGATCATAGAGTATGTAAGACATTGAAAAAGAAAGTGAGCTTCGTCTTCTATTAGATTGGATCCACAAAAAGGGCAATGCCTAATATATAGATTTCGCCAGGGCTTAAAGCGACGCTCTCGATAATTTTTATAGTTTATTCAAACAAAATATAAAATCGTATAATGCTCAGCGGCGAAGGCAACGAGAACGGTAAAAAAAAAACAGCAATAGGTCTAATTAGCAGAAAAGCAACTTTGCACGTGCAGCACACTTTTTTGTACATTTCTTTGCCGTTGTTTTGCACGACTGCGACGTAAAACGTCCAGAAACTTCCTGGTTACACGTTTTATTGAGGAAGTGTTGTACGTGTTCTTGTTCACTTTTTTTTTTTTCACTGTCGCTCATTTTCACCTGGTGGCCGCTAGCATCCCGCCGCTACAAAATTTCATGTTGTTCTTCCAAAAAATGTCTCCCTTTATTTTTTGTCTCTCGTTCTAGCTCCTTTTCTCGTTGAGCTTCGCTGGCGTGTCTCCCTACTTTCTCTTTTTCTCTGTCTTTCTTTTTCTCTATATCTCAAATTTGAGGACATGACAATTAATCTAAGCCTAATACTTAAAACAACACGGATACAGAAACATTTTCCGCTTTCGTCTTTACTGACTCTTTAGTTGTGTCTGCTTCACGAGACGCGGGTGGCCATACGCTTTCTATCCAAAATAACCTGACATTTGGCATCGGCTTACATGTAGTGGGTGTACGGACGGTCGTTCGTACGCTACGTCATAACCAAATTTTCTCGGATGGATAGTTTACCAATTTTTCTTACCCATAGTGCTCCGCTGGCGCGCTTCGCGCACAAGAGCTCGGCTATTATCCTTCGTAGTTTGATTAGACAAAGTTGTTATAAAGAGGGAAGGATGGTGAAAAGCCGATCACGTGACCTTTACGCTTAATTTTAATTTTTTCGAGAAAGATAAAGAAAACTGTATAATTTCAACTGCATGAGACCAGAGAGAGCTTATTAATTTATGCAAATATATCGGCGTTTCTGGCGTCCACGCTTTTGTATCGTCTTCTCCATCCTAAACAAGTTACTTCTCAGGAAGGTCGCCTCAAAAGCGATGGTTCAGGAGTTTTACAAAACGAAAATGAAAGCGTTGTGTCAGGAGCCCATGAGTCTCCTGGGTTGTATGAATATTCGGACGGAATCGTTCGGCACTGAGTAGCGAGAAATAATATGAATTGTCTAGACATCTAAGGTTGCAATAGCTCTAGGGAAGCTCGGAGGGAACTTCGTTTTAAAGCACGTATTGTTATATTACTGCACCAGAAACAAAGAAAAATGTTTAGTACATTTTCTCAACACTGAAAGGAGACGTGACTGCCAGAGGTGGGGAAATTAAAGAAATAGAGCTAGCTCTCCTTTCTTTAGCCGTTCGCTCGCGCTTCTCTCACAGCTCGCATCGCTCGCCATAAATGAAGAACTTGCTGGCGGGCTATGGTTCCTTGTAATACCATCGAAAAAAGTTTGAAATACATCTGCGTGAGTCGTTTTCGCAGCCAATTAAAATCTTAACACCTCGCGAAAAAGAGTATTTTATCATTTAAGAACACCTTTTATTAGTTACTGACTTGCAGGTATGATATCTGTCAGGCTAAATAAACGGCTGATTAGCATTGTTTTTATTCGCATAACTAGTGCAGCTGCAACCTCAAAAAGTTGCCAGTTGAATTAACGGCAGTCGCGATATCAACTGAAGTGAAACAAATTTAACACCAAAGTTTTGCAGATATTGTACTGAAAATATCTCAAATCGCGTAAGAATATTTAGGCTGTGTAAGCGAGGATAGTCGGACTAGCATATATGGAGGAGGCTCCTTTGAAGAAGTTATTACTACGTCTTATTGGTTTTTCTATTTATGCGCTCATCGGTGGAGCTGTTTTTATGCAAATCGAAAAAGAGGAAGATCAAAACGCTGCTGAACAAACGTTGGATGATTTACTGCTCAAGTGGATGAAGACATGTAACATTTCCAGAGAAAATGTCACAAACATGTTACAAGATTTCCAAAGTTTGAAAGAGAATGGATACAAACCATCATGGAGCTTTATTAACTCAGTCTACTTTGTTCTGCAACTCCTCACGACAATAGGTAAGGGTTGAATACTTCGTTTAATTTATTTTTGTTGTTGTTGTGTCAAATTACACAGTTCATAAAAGGGAAAGATGTTTTTAAAAAAATGATCACGAGTCAAACCAATATATCGTGGCTTCAANACCTTTTATTAGTTACTGACTTGCAGGTATGATATCTGTCAGGCTAAATAAACGGCTGATTAGCATTGTTTTTATTCGCATAACTAGTGCAGCTGCAACCTCAAAAAGTTGCCAGTTGAATTAACGGCAGTCGCGATATCAACTGAAGTGAAACAAATTTAACACCAAAGTTTTGCAGATATTGTACTGAAAATATCTCAAATCGCGTAAGAATATTTAGGCTGTGTAAGCGAGGATAGTCGGACTAGCATATATGGAGGAGGCTCCTTTGAAGAAGTTATTACTACGTCTTATTGGTTTTTCTATTTATGCGCTCATCGGTGGAGCTGTTTTTATGCAAATCGAAAAAGAGGAAGATCAAAACGCTGCTGAACAAACGTTGGATGATTTACTGCTCAAGTGGATGAAGACATGTAACATTTCCAGAGAAAATGTCACAAACATGTTACAAGATTTCCAAAGTTTGAAAGAGAATGGATACAAACCATCATGGAGCTTTATTAACTCAGTCTACTTTGTTCTGCAACTCCTCACGACAATAGGTAAGGGTTGAATACTTCGTTTAATTTATTTTTGTTGTTGTTGTGTCAAATTACACAGTTCATAAAAGGGAAAGATGTTTTTAAAAAAATGATCACGAGTCAAACCAATATATCGTGGCTTCAATAGCAGCATAATTATCCAAACTGCGCTGAACATCAAATATTGAAATGTGTTTTCCAGCGGGCAGCACTCTTTTATTTGGCCTAAGCGGGTGAGTCTCTAAACAACGAATTATTTTGATCAGGGTCTTGAGTCTTAAAGAGGGCATACAATTTCACCATTTCACTTTTTGAACTGGGTGGTTTTTGTTTTGGACTGGAAGGTTGGCGATCAGCGGTCTACATTTGCGGCAACAACATTTTTTAAAAATATTTTATTCCGTGATTTTGGTTGAAAAAATTATCTCATTCTGTATGTACAAACGAAACGAATCAGGGTAATAAAGTAAGCTCTCTTTTCTTGAAGCGACTAAACACAGTTTCTGTGACATAAACATTTGTTTTCGAGCGCGTCAAAGACTGACGTGATGTGATGACGTGTTTTCGCCCCTTAAAATGCTTTATCCCTCTACTATTAACATCTTTACTATGAGAAGACATGCAGCCAATGAGATTTTCTAGTAAAAATGTAAGCACCAGCTGGGAGAAATGGCCAGAAGTTGTCTGTAGAAATTTATTCTGTTCTCGTCGCTTTTGTCACATCGCGTGAACCAAGCGCGCGCACAAGTTTTGAGCATGCGTACTTAGGGAAAACTGTGAGAACGTTTTTTTTTTGTTGACTTTAATAGACAGAGCTTAAGCAACTAAGACGACGACGACAACGACGACGTCAAAAAAAATAGTTTTTATGAACAAAACAACAGCTCTGCACGTGCATCTCGCTTTTTAGTACATTTCTTTGACGTCCACCGCACGACTACGACGTGAAACCTCCCAATGCGACGTTTTATGGAGGACGTAGACATACGACGACAAATTTTCCTTTCTCTATTTGAACATGGATAAAGTCCCTAAGAATTCAACTCCTGGAAAGTCGCCTGCATTTGACGAGTTGAGCGGTTCCAAACTGAGACGCGATAAAGTTTGAAAGGATGCAACTACATTTTTTTAGTGATGTTTTCGCTGCCGTTGTCGTCGCTGAAAGAAACGACGATATCTCAAAACCTACTCATTAGAATTTAACGACATTTGGCAAAATTCTTGTCAATATCGCTCTTTACGACCGAGGGGGACACCTATCTCTGAATAAATTCATAAGGCAAAATTTTACTTGTGCTAACGCTTATATCTCGGCTGTTTTAGAGGCGACTTAGATAAAAATTTTACAGAGACATTGTGAAATGATGGACGTTTCGGAGGCTTGGTTTTTAGTTGGTAGATCGCGCTTTACAGCGATGCTTTAAGCCACAGTTCTACCAAATTGGGAAATTGTGATTTTGTGTCCAAGTTTGCGGAAAGAATAGAAGATAGCTGCACTCTGTGATTTTATTAATAAATGATCGGTCAAAACTGCCCTAGTGTGTTTTGTATTGAGCAGATCTTGTAATTTATAAGTTTGCCAGCAAGATATAATCGTTTAAATGAGCAAAATCTGTCCTCCCCGAAATTAACGCCTTATATATTTTTATAAAAGCGCTCTTTTAGAATTCCGCTCTATACAGAACACACTACAGTCTACCAAGTGACCCCTCTGAAGTGCCAGCTCGTCAAGTTTTGTTTATCTGCACTGAATTCTTGGACACAAAATTGTCAGAAAAGTCAAATTTTGAGACTCCCGAAAGTGTCCCGACTAAGGGCCTGTTCATATGAGCCCGGTTGACCGGGCTGGCCCGGTTTCCGAGATCTCGCCTCACCTCTAAATCCTTTGTAAAATTTTCGATGTGTTCATATGAGAGGGTGGGCTGGCTCGGTTCCCGAGATCTCGGTTTTTCCAACCGAGATCTCGGTAAGCGGGCTGGAAATTTTGCCATATGAACACTTCATCCCGGTTGCCGGGATGAACGGCGGGATGAATTCTGGCGGTCCGGATGGCATCGTCTTGCATTGTCTGCTGTGTTTTCCACATCATAAGTATCCCATTTAACTGCAGTGATACAGCTTTAAGAGTTACCGATGCTAAGATAGGCCCGAAAGTGAAAATTTTTGTGTTTCGCTATATTTGCTTTGTTTCCCAAATTTGGCGCCAGAACTCGTACCCAGGATCTTTGACCTTTTCTCATCTCGGAAACCGGGCTAAAATTTCTCATATGAACCCAAGGCAGAATTCATCCCGGTAACCGAGCCAGCCCGGTCAACCGGGCTCATATGAAGAGGCCCTAAAGCACGAATTCCAAGCAAGATATGTAATTATAATTATGGTAATTATGGTTAATTATGTTCCACGTATTAATTTTGTTTATAAGCTGCAATGTTTTCAAGGATTTTTGAGGCGAAAAAAAAAGCACAAAGTTTTGGTATTGAATTGGTTGAAATTTCTAAAGATTTCCTTATTTTCATTTCCATATTGTTAAAAATCGTAGAGACAAGGTTTGATTCAGAGCCCGTTTCTTACTTTGAAATAAACATTTTGTTCGCAGTCGGCTTGACACACGAGCGCGTAAACACTTTAAATTATGCACTCATCTTTTATCCAGTTATGAATATCTCGTAAACCTGTCGATATCAGCCGTTGTACTTCGTGCATACGTTTTAAGTAAATGCATAATAATGAGCCCAAGGTGTTCCCCGCGACCTTATCTAATCATTCCCTGATCATTGAAAACCTGAAAATTAAAGTTGAACAGAGGATTTTTGTGACACAAACAAATCTCACAAGATAGCAGGTTATGGGCTCATGAAGATAGCTATTTTGTTAAAAATTTCAAAAACTGTTTGTTACAATTCTGCAAAGGCAAACTGATTTTTTGAGTTAAGACGTAAGGTTTACTATGTTACTGAAAACTAAGAACGACAAGTCCAAAGACTACTGCAAAGCTGATTTAAAACAACGTTTATTTTTTTTTTATAACATTATTTCGGCTGGCCATATCAGCCTTCTTCAGGTTTACAGATGTATTGAAAACTGTTTTCCGTACGGTTTTTGTTGACAGGTTATGGCAACATAACCCCTGCAACAGCTGGTGGCCAAGTTTTCACCATTATCTACGCATTTCCTGGAATCCCAATCACTCTCCTTGCATTGCGTGCAGTTGGAAAATTGGTCAACATCGGTTTAAAAAAGGCAAACAGACCCCTACACAGAAAACGTCACGGTATGGCCTGCCCAGAAAACCAATGTCCTTTCCTGGAAAAAGCAAATATGTGCATCAATTTATGTTGCTTCGTTTTAACTTGGGTGATGGTAACAACAGTTCAAGCGCGTTTGGAGCCAGAGAAGTCTGTTGTGTTCATTGTTTATTCCATGTTCGTGACGTACTCCACTGTTGGATTTGGCGATTTTATCCCGTTTGAAAAACACAAATCCATTTTTATCGTATTTGTTCTGCCTGGCCTGTCCTTTTTATCGGGTTTGATTGATTCTGTTGTCGCTTACTTGGAAAAAAGCAACGTGTTAGGAAAGCGTTGTTATCAATGTGTGAGTTGCCTGGGAGTAAAAATGAAAGCAAAAAGGGCAAGAATAAATTCCGCAGAAGCGGTTAAGGCCCAAAAAAGTCAAGATACAGTAGAAACGGATATTAATGCAGAGCACGCCGTGTGAAATATTCAAAAGAAAACAAAACAAACAGAGGTTGTATAAGCAAAGGGACATGGACACAGAAACAAAGTAGTAGGTGGCATTTCAGCTCCAACGAAAGGATCGGAGAGAACTGTGAAACAAAAACAGCTGATTCAGCTGTAAAAGATCACAAGAGTAATGCCAGAGCCCGGATGGGCAAAACAAGAGAGGACCTTGGGACCAATTATCTCCTCTCTTCAGGCAAAACTGAAGGAAGAAGACTGAAACCGGTTTTTCTCAGGCCAATTTTTTTTTTTCAAGTTTGACTCAATTTGTTTGAAAGTGTGACTTACAGTGCCAGGGAATTATCTAAATTTACAACATGGCAATGAATTTCTTTTTATTCAAAGGCATTCTTTTTCACGAATTTTAAGGGCTGGCTGTGATTGATTCGTGATCTCTATTTCTTATCAAAAAAAAACTCTCTGTCACGTTCATTTAATGTCAAGAGCTATACAAATGTTAAAAAAGGATTTTTTTAACTATCCTGGAAACGTTACTTGCAAAAATATTAATAAAGGAAAGCAACTAACACTAAACAAAGCACGGATAATTAAAACTGGTTTTTAGAAAAAAAAAAGCAAAAGAAAAGAAAAAACAAAAGGGCGATTTTCCTATATTTCAAGCAAATAATTTGTCCTTGTGCGAGTTACGCGATCAGTGACGTTACATTGTTGACTTGAAAATATTACATTCTCTTTTGTTATATTGAACATTGCCAAGTTACCATTTTTAGCGATTTTTAACAAAGAATTAAGAAGTAAATAGTGATTTAGGCTCCAGCCTCGTTTTCATGCTGTACGGTGAGGTGCGCGACATGATCATGAAAAAGCCGTTTACTCGAAACCTATATCACAGATCGACCTTACAAATTATACGGCAATCATCAGGAGGTCTTGTTCTACCAAAATCCGGTATCAATGCAACCCTTTTCTGACTGGTGGGTTGAACGAAACGACAATTTTTCGACCTCGGCTACTGGACTATTTGCCCGATCCTCAGGGAAAAAAAAGGCAAGGCCTTCGGAAGGAAACAAAAAACTCGATTTTTTGTTGACTTTAATAGACAGAGCTTAAGCAACTAAGACGACGACGACAACGACGACGTCAAAAAAAATAGTTTTTATGAACAAAACAACAGCTCTGCACGTGCATCTCGCTTTTTAGTACATTTCTTTGACGTCCACCGCACGACTACGACGTGAAACCTCCCAATGCGACGTTTTATGGAGGACGTAGACATACGACGACAAATTTTCCTTTCTCTATTTGAACATGGATAAAGTCCCTAAGAATTCAACTCCTGGAAAGTCGCCTGCATTTGACGAGTTGAGCGGTTCCAAACTGAGACGCGATAAAGTTTGAAAGGATGCAACTACATTTTTTTAGTGATGTTTTCGCTGCCGTTGTCGTCGCTGAAAGAAACGACGATATCTCAAAACCTACTCATTAGAATTTAACGACATTTGGCAAAATTCTTGTCAATATCGCTCTTTACGACCGAGGGGGACACCTATCTCTGAATAAATTCATAAGGCAAAATTTTACTTGTGCTAACGCTTATATCTCGGCTGTTTTAGAGGCGACTTAGATAAAAATTTTACAGAGACATTGTGAAATGATGGACGTTTCGGAGGCTTGGTTTTTAGTTGGTAGATCGCGCTTTACAGCGATGCTTTAAGCCACAGTTCTACCAAATTGGGAAATTGTGATTTTGTGTCCAAGTTTGCGGAAAGAATAGAAGATAGCTGCACTCTGTGATTTTATTAATAAATGATCGGTCAAAACTGCCCTAGTGTGTTTTGTATTGAGCAGATCTTGTAATTTATAAGTTTGCCAGCAAGATATAATCGTTTAAATGAGCAAAATCTGTCCTCCCCGAAATTAACGCCTTATATATTTTTATAAAAGCGCTCTTTTAGAATTCCGCTCTATACAGAACACACTACAGTCTACCAAGTGACCCCTCTGAAGTGCCAGCTCGTCAAGTTTTGTTTATCTGCACTGAATTCTTGGACACAAAATTGTCAGAAAAGTCAAATTTTGAGACTCCCGAAAGTGTCCCGACTAAGGGCCTGTTCATATGAGCCCGGTTGACCGGGCTGGCCCGGTTTCCGAGATCTCGCCTCACCTCTAAATCCTTTGTAAAATTTTCGATGTGTTCATATGAGAGGGTGGGCTGGCTCGGTTCCCGAGATCTCGGTTTTTCCAACCGAGATCTCGGTAAGCGGGCTGGAAATTTTGCCATATGAACACTTCATCCCGGTTGCCGGGATGAACGGCGGGATGAATTCTGGCGGTCCGGATGGCATCGTCTTGCATTGTCTGCTGTGTTTTCCACATCATAAGTATCCCATTTAACTGCAGTGATACAGCTTTAAGAGTTACCGATGCTAAGATAGGCCCGAAAGTGAAAATTTTTGTGTTTCGCTATATTTGCTTTGTTTCCCAAATTTGGCGCCAGAACTCGTACCCAGGATCTTTGACCTTTTCTCATCTCGGAAACCGGGCTAAAATTTCTCATATGAACCCAAGGCAGAATTCATCCCGGTAACCGAGCCAGCCCGGTCAACCGGGCTCATATGAAGAGGCCCTAAAGCACGAATTCCAAGCAAGATATGTAATTATAATTATGGTAATTATGGTTAATTATGTTCCACGTATTAATTTTGTTTATAAGCTGCAATGTTTTCAAGGATTTTTGAGGCGAAAAAAAAAGCACAAAGTTTTGGTATTGAATTGGTTGAAATTTCTAAAGATTTCCTTATTTTCATTTCCATATTGTTAAAAATCGTAGAGACAAGGTTTGATTCAGAGCCCGTTTCTTACTTTGAAATAAACATTTTGTTCGCAGTCGGCTTGACACACGAGCGCGTAAACACTTTAAATTATGCACTCATCTTTTATCCAGTTATGAATATCTCGTAAACCTGTCGATATCAGCCGTTGTACTTCGTGCATACGTTTTAAGTAAATGCATAATAATGAGCCCAAGGTGTTCCCCGCGACCTTATCTAATCATTCCCTGATCATTGAAAACCTGAAAATTAAAGTTGAACAGAGGATTTTTGTGACACAAACAAATCTCACAAGATAGCAGGTTATGGGCTCATGAAGATAGCTATTTTGTTAAAAATTTCAAAAACTGTTTGTTACAATTCTGCAAAGGCAAACTGATTTTTTGAGTTAAGACGTAAGGTTTACTATGTTACTGAAAACTAAGAACGACAAGTCCAAAGACTACTGCAAAGCTGATTTAAAACAACGTTTATTTTTTTTTTATAACATTATTTCGGCTGGCCATATCAGCCTTCTTCAGGTTTACAGATGTATTGAAAACTGTTTTCCGTACGGTTTTTGTTGACAGGTTATGGCAACATAACCCCTGCAACAGCTGGTGGCCAAGTTTTCACCATTATCTACGCATTTCCTGGAATCCCAATCACTCTCCTTGCATTGCGTGCAGTTGGAAAATTGGTCAACATCGGTTTAAAAAAGGCAAACAGACCCCTACACAGAAAACGTCACGGTATGGCCTGCCCAGAAAACCAATGTCCTTTCCTGGAAAAAGCAAATATGTGCATCAATTTATGTTGCTTCGTTTTAACTTGGGTGATGGTAACAACAGTTCAAGCGCGTTTGGAGCCAGAGAAGTCTGTTGTGTTCATTGTTTATTCCATGTTCGTGACGTACTCCACTGTTGGATTTGGCGATTTTATCCCGTTTGAAAAACACAAATCCATTTTTATCGTATTTGTTCTGCCTGGCCTGTCCTTTTTATCGGGTTTGATTGATTCTGTTGTCGCTTACTTGGAAAAAAGCAACGTGTTAGGAAAGCGTTGTTATAAATGTGTGAGTTGCCTGGGAGTAAAAATGAAAGCAAAAAGGGCAAGAATAAATTCCGCAGAAGCGGTTAAGGCCCAAAAAAGTCAAGATACAGTAGAAACGGATATTAATGCAGAGCACGCCGTGTGAAATATTCAAAAGAAAACAAAACAAACAGAGGTTGTATAAGCAAAGGGACATGGACACAGAAACAAAGTAGTAGGTGGCATTTCAGCTCCAACGAAAGGATCGGAGAGAACTGTGAAACAAAAACAGCTGATTCAGCTGTAAAAGATCACAAGAGTAATGCCAGAGCCCGGATGGGCAAAACAAGAGAGGACCTTGGGACCAATTATCTCCTCTCTTCAGGCAAAACTGAAGGAAGAAGACTGAAACCGGTTTTTCTCAGGCCAATTTTTTTTTTCAAGTTTGACACAATTTGTTTGAAAGTGTGACTTACAGTGCCAGGGAATTATCTAAATTTACAACATGGCAATGAATTTCTTTTTATTCAAAGGCATTCTTTTTCACGAATTTTAAGGGCTGGCTGTGATTGATTCGTGATCTCTATTTCTTATCAAAAAAAAAACTCTCTGTCACGTTCATTTAATGTCAAGAGCTATACAAATGTTAAAAAAGGATTTTTTTTAACTATCCTGGAAACGTTACTTGCAAAAATATTAATAAAGGAAAGCAACTAACACTAAACAAAGTACAGATAATTAAAACTGGTTTTTAGAAAAAAAAAGCAAAAGAAAAGAAAAAACAAAAGGACGATTTTCCTATATTTCAAGCAAATAATTTGTCCTTGTGCGAGTTACGCGATCAGTGACGTTACATTGTTGACTTGAAAATATTACAATCTCTTTTGTTATATTGAACATTGCCAAGTTACCATTTTTAGCGATTTTTAACAAAGAATTAAGAAGTAAATAGTGATTTAGGCTCCAGCCTCGTTTTCATGCTGTACGGTAAGGTGCGTGACATGAAAAAGCCGTTTACTCGAAACCTATATCACAGATCGACCTTACAAATTATACGGCAATCATCAGGAGGTCTTGTTCTACCAAAATCCGGTATCAATGCAACCCTTTTCTGACTGGTGGGTTGAACGAAACGACAATTTTTCGACCTCGGCTACTGGACTATTTGCCCGATCCTCAGGGAAAAAAAAGGCAAGGCCTTCGGAAGGAAACAAAAAACTCGTAATCACTTCTTTTGCACCTGCAGGTTTTGCTATTGTATTCTTATATTTTTCCAGACAGCAAAAACATACAATTTTACAAGGGCATTATTGTTATTATTTCTTATTTTCTTTTCATCGGGAAGTGGCTGGTGGTGGTTCGGGTAATTTGCAGTTGTTTTCAGTATAAAACCTCTTTAGCCATATAGTGTGTTTGATTTTTGCGACCAGTTTGATTTTCTGCCCTGAGGCTGTCATTGTTTTGCCATTTTGAAGTAATTTCTTTATCACCGTTAGTTTTCTTGGCGAGTAAACCGACACAGCTCCTTTAATCTTTGATACGAGCATCAATCAGGACGCCGGCAGTGATGGACGTGTTACTGAATTATTCACTAGATGGCAAAGGAGGACTTGGGCCCCGTTTCTCGAAACGCCCAGAAGCCCCAGAAACTTTTCTGGCCCGAAGGCAAATTTTAAAATCAAAACTTGTTGAATAGGGGCACAGTCACAGTCAGAAACCAGTCGTTTCGTTAATAGTTTCATTGTATAATTGAAACTTTGACCTTGAATGTAAACACGGCACACACAAAACAGCTTTCATGGCCCGAAAAGATACCAATATTTATCCAATGTAGACCTATTGGATAAAGAAAAAGTGGCAAAGGAGGGGCACCTTTTCAGGTCCCATCTTAACACAAAAAATGGAAACCCCATATTTGCAGTTTCCCCGATCGGATTCTCGGGACAGCGGTTTCAAAAAGATGTGCGGGTTCCAGTGGGCAGTTCAGTGATTTCGTGTGGAGAGTTATGAGGTATATAAATGGGGTGGGTTTTCAAGGGTTAGAATGAAGAGAAAAGGGCAATGAAAACTGCTATTAACACATTTTATGGGGTATCTCAGACTAATGCAAAGAGACGTTACCTTATCGCTTATTAAAGAAATAAATTTATTTGTTTGTATTTATTCATTTATTGACGAAATTTTCATTAACCAAACAAAAGAAACAAATCCAGTTCAAGTCATGAGCAACTGTTCTATTTCCAGTTTTAAAAGGCTGCGCAAAAAGAAAAAAAGTCGCTCGCTTTTCAGCCAAAATGTATTTGTAGGTAAATGAAATTGAAAGAGTACCTTTTTGGACAAACGTAGACATATCCACACTCCCTCCTAACCATGTATAAAAGAAACTTGAGTAAAATCCATCTCTGCATATGGAGCTGATGTATGCGAAGAATGGCGTCTATCGAAGGAGATAGGATCGCATCGCTATGACTCTGTTCCGAGTCAACGACGGGGAAAAAAGTATGACAGTACTGAGTGCTCAAACACCGGTAAATGGAAAAAAAGATAAAAATATTATGGTCGTCTTGTCTGTAAATTGTGGGAGTTTACGCAATCACGAAGACGACGGAAAAAGAAAACGTGAAAACGTTCTCAAATAAAGTGATTTTGTGTTCTTTTAAATTTTATCGCGTTTATCTAGCCGCTATCAATCTGTCAAATGTTGGTGAACTTTCCTAGGGGTTGAATTCTTAAACGCTGTATTTTATCTTCAAAAAGGAAAGGAAAATTAAGCGTCGCGTGTTCACGTCCTCCATAAAACGTCGCATTAGGAACTTTCACGTCGTATTCGTGCGGTGGACGTCAAAGAAATGTACTAAAAAGCGTGATGCACATATGCAGAGCTGTTGTTTTCCTCATAAATCAATTGTTTTTTGACGTTTACGTTCTTGCTGTCGTCTTAAGCTCCGTAATATATCGCTTACTGTCAATGTGTCGTCTTACTTATATCTAAAGGAAGGTAAACATCAATTATGAATAGAAACTTCATTTCATTTATAATAAAATAAAAAAATGTTTTAATTCGTTATATGTTCGATTTGTTTTCGTTTTGAAAAGTACAGATTACAGTGAAGAGCAGAGGTTTTGGGATCCCAGATCTGAAATGACGAGTTCGCGTGATCGCGTGTACTATTTGACAAAATACAATACAGGCACAGAACAGTCGAAGTAAACAAAGTGTGCCGTTCTTAACAAGAGAAGTGGTTTCACTACTCCTTCGTTCTTCTTTTTACAATCTTTTTGTTAGTTTAACGAATCCAACTTAATGGTACATTTTAAGAGATATCTTGCTAGCTTCCAGCATGACGCAGATTACCTTGTAATCTCTTTAACCCTT